TGAAATAACATTTAGTGAATCAAATGTCTGTTTAGAGAGATAAAAGTGGAATATCTAATTATTTGATAAAAACCCAAGATATGATAAAAAATACGCCTAATACCTTTTCAATAAACAATAAACAATAAACATTAGGATTTAAAATATGTAGTGAATTTTACAGAGAGAAATAATACTTAACCAATATTGAGATTAATTTTATTTTAGAGAAATAGAGCTGGGAAGTTGAAATAGTGCAGGAATATTTTTTCATGCAGATAGAAAACAAAACAAAACTTTCAAATAAAATATGTCATGCAAACAGAACAAAATACAAACACATGCAGGAAAGACACCCACTGACAAATACAATCAACACATGTTTTGATATGTGCTTCTTTTAAAATAACATTTATCATTCAAGCAAAGAATTTCTATATAATTTACATGAAATTTCACAACAGTAAAAACAATATTCTTAACTTATATTATTAAGATCTATTATTTTATTCTTTTTGTATCAGGATTTCCAGCAAATAAGTTTTACACGGAATTCAACCCTAACTAACATTAGTTTTATTAGATATTTTAAATTACTCAATTCCCAGCTGATTGTTTCTTACAATATAAAAATTTTACAAAGAAAATATAACAATGTTTAGATTCACTTTGAAAATAAAATTTTATTTCACCTTAGTTTTAATCAATATAGTTGTACAGCAGATATCAAAACATACAACTAGTTCAAAACATGTTGATACTTTCAAAGTTTTTTTAACATCACTGTCGTTCACCTAGACATTATAGTTTATAACATTAGCACTAGGATATCCTAGGTTCTGATCTTCTAACATTGATTCTAGGATATCCTAGGTTCTTATCTTCTAACATTGATTCTAGGACATCCTAGGTTCTTATCTTCTAACATTGATTCTAGGACATCCTAGGTTCTTATCTTCTAACATTGATTCTAGGATATCCTAGGTTCTTATCTTCTAACATTGATTCTAGGATATCCTAGGTTCTTATCTTCTAACATTGATTCTAGGATATTCTAGGTTCTTATCTATTAACATTGATTCTAGGATATACTAGGTTCTTATCTTCAAACATTGATTCTAGGATATCCTAGGTTCTTTC